GGCTTCTTCAATGGCGGAAAGAGATTCCCTTTGGTCTTTCAGCTGATAGTCAAGAAGATCTTCAAGGGCTTTGTCTTCTTCGCTCGCCATAGCCGGACCACCACTCTCGTTTCGCCTGCGGAGGAGAAGAAGAAGAAGAAAAAGAAAACTCTTTTTGCCGACCCGCAAACGGAACTCCGGTTACCAATTTACAATTAACTTTATCTAGTACCAGAAATTTAATTTACAATTTAATTTTAAGTTTCTGATTGAAATTAGAGTGATTTAGTGAATTATCCATATTTGAAACTCAAATTAGGAAAATACCATTGATTGGACATGAAGGACATATACACAACTATTTGACAAGAAAATGCCGAGAATGCCCATTCTCTTTCCTCTCATTAACACGAAGCGTAAGAACATTTGTTAACATATAACATTTCTGTTAATGTCTACAATATTTGTTAACAGCCAACACATTTATTACCGCGAAGCGTAAAAATAATTGTTAACAGTTACCACTTCTGTTAACGTCTACAATATTTGTTAACAGCGAACACATTTATTAACGCGAAGCGTAAAAATAATTGTTAACAACTAACACTTCTGTTAACGTCTACAATATTTGTTAATCGCTAACGGATTCAAAGCCACTTATGAAAAAATAATGAAATTTAAAATTTAATTGTATATAGAGTGATAGAGATTTGTAAAATAATTAGGGATTGAAGAGAAAAAAAAAGTTAAAAAAAATTGAGGATTCAAAGCCACTTATGAAAAAATAATGAAATTTAAAATTTAATTGTATATAGAATGATAGAGATTTGTAAAAATAATTAGGGATTGAAGAGAAAAAAAGGGGAAGACGTCAAAGAGAGGAGAGAGAGTGTAGAGAAGGGCAAAATAGTCCAAAGGAAAGTGATTGTCATATCATGGGGAAGTCTCTAATTATGGGTCCAAAAAGGGGTACGCTAGCAAATTATCTCTTGAAATAAATCCTAAAATAGCATTAATCTAAGTTTTTGTTCTCAAACTAGCACCCAATGTCAAAAATCACAAAAATATGTTCTTTTTTTTTTTTGGCTCAACATCAAACTTTTCATTAACCAAGAGCTGAATACATGGATTTGACCACATAATGGTTTAACCACAAAGACAAGGATTGATCTAGTATCACCCATGAACACTTAAATTGGATCATACGCTACCCGATCGATACATCCTTGTACTCTTTCAACCATAACGAGAACAAGATCATTCTACGACACATAATGATCTGTCCCTTGAACCACCTAATTCTACCTCTAGACAACAAAGTTACAAAGCTATCCCTAAGCTTCTAAACTATCCTAGGAGGAGATACTCCACTTGTAACCCGACGTAGCTGGTACCGAAAGATCAGATTGCAGCACATGACCACCACTGCATCACCAAAAGGCGCATGCTCTCATCGAAAGGATGCCAGATAGCTCGAGATTAAGGCTTCTTCACCTTGTCTTACACCTCTACATTAAACCTAATGATCCAGAGACAAAAAGTTTGCTAGCAATCAATAGTCTTTCCCAGTAATCTGTTTCCAGCCCAAACCATTGGTCGCCGAGTGATAAGAATGCAGTCCATGTACCAACAGTGACAATGCCTCTAGCGCATTGCAGAGTAAACCAAAGCTACCAACAAACCATGCCTAGATCCTTAGCCAAAAACAGACCAGATCGGCCTGAATGAAAAGGCGGACCTTGACAACATATACGGGACCAGTCCAAACTAAACTAAATTTTCTGGGGTGCGAAGCTTGAAACACCGGTTAGAATCAGAGACACGTTGTTGATGCTGGATGTCGAGCTCCGCCACGACCACCACCAAAGCCACTCCTCCGGTAGACCCACTCCGCCGACGTGAGGCCTTGCGTCGTGTTGACTCCGAGAACTGGAGAACCAAACCGCTTTCCACCGCTATTAAACCACTCCTCCGTAGGTCCACCGCCGCACAGAAAGGCAACATCGTGGAGGAGGAGGCGTCTCTCCGTGTCCCGATCCGTCGTCATGAAAGAGACTCAACAGATCTGAAGGGAGAAAACCAGATCTGGCGAGGTCCTTCAGTCCTAAACGCCGACCCTCCCCCCACCGCCACACCTTGTATCTCGCCGCTGCTCCATGGAAAGGCAGTGACCGTCATCGTCGAGTCTCGAGCCGAACTCCCATTAGACACATAACATCGAGCATATCGACACATGATTGAGACAATGGTGAAGAGAGCAAAAGAAAAAAAAAAGAGAAGAAACAGAGCTTTCAACACCGGCAAAAGCCGGGCCGGAGCTGGCGGTTATGTCTAGCGGCGGAGGCCTGAAAGGAAGAGACTGAGAGGAAGCTAGGTTTTTTTTTTAAAGAGATTTTACTTTTTGTTTCCGGCAAAAATATGTTTTATTAAAGGGATAAATTATCTTTATGCCCATCTTTGACTAATTAAAAAATAATAGATTAATAAATGATTTATCTTTATGTCACTTCTTTGACTAATTTACTCTAAAATCATAAACCATAAAACTTCAACTCTAAACTTTATACCCTAAAACTTCCACTTTAAACCCTGAAACATCAATTCTAGAAACATAAACCTTAAAACTTCAAATTTAAGCCATAAACCTTATAACATCAATTCTAAACCCTAATCACTGAAACTTCAACTCTTAACCCTAATTATGAAACTTCAACTCTAATCCCTAAACCCTGAAACATCAACTCTAAAACTCTAAAGCCTGAAACTTCAACTCTTAACCCTAATTCTGAAACTTCAACTCTAATCCCTAAACCCTGAAACATCAACTCTAAAACCTGAAACTTCAACACTAAACCCTGAAACATCAACTCTAAAACCTTAAACCCTGAAACTTCAAATCTAAACCCTAAATCCCGAAACATCAGCTCTAAAACTCTAAATTCTGATGTTTTACCTCTAAACCCTTGAAACATCAACTCTAAAAAACTCTAACCCTGAAACTTCAACTCTAATCCCCAAACCCTGAAATATCAACTTTAAACCCTAAACCTTGAAACTTCAACTCTAAACCCTAAACCCTGAAACTTCAACTCTAAAACTCTAAAACCTAAAATTTCAACTCTAAACCCTGAAACATCAACTCTAAAACCTTAAACCCCGAAACTTCAAATCTAAAACCTAAATCCTGAAACATCAACTCTAAAACCGTAAACCCTGATGTTTTACCTCTAAACCCCTGAAACATCAACTCTAAAACCCTAAACCCTGAAACTTCAACTCTAAACCCTAAAACACCAGCTCGAAAACTTTAAACCTTGAAACTTCAACTCTAAAACCCTAAACACTGAAACTTCAACTCCAAAACCCTAAACCCTGAAAATCGAACTCTAAAACCCTAATCCCTGAAAATTCATCTCTAAACCCTACAACATCAGTTCTATAACCCTAAATTTTGAAACTTGAACTTTAAACGCTAAACCTTGAAAAATCAATTCTAAACCCTGAAACTTCAACTCTAAACCCTAACCTTGAAATTTCAACTCGAAACCCTAACCACTGAAACATCAACTCTAAAACCTTACACCCTGAAATTTCAACTCTGAAACTTAAACGCTGAAACTTCCACTCTAACCCCCAAAACATCAATTCTAGAACTCTAAACCCTGAAACATTAAATCTAGAACCCTAAATCTTCAAACTTCAACTTTAAACCCTAAACTCTGAAACTTCAACTCTAAATTCTAAACCCTGACACTTCAACTATAAATCATCCTAAAACATAAAATTTCAACCCTAAATCTAAACCCTAAACGCTCAACTTTAACCCTTAATCCCTAAACCCTATATTTTCCGAAATTTGAATCCTAAACCCCAAAACCCTTACTATATTAAAATCTGGATGATATATTAAAGTTCATGATAGGCTTCACGGTAATGTATTATAAGATTTGGAAAGCATTGAGTGTGTTCAGGATGGGCTTCCGGATAATATATTAATCTTCAGGATAATGTATTATAAAATTTGGAAAGCGTTAAGCGAGTTCAGGATGGGTTTTCAGATAATATATTAATCTTCAGGGTAATGTATTATAAAATTTGGAAAGCCTTGAACGTGTTCATGATGGGCTTAATATATTAATCTTCAGGATAATGTATTATAAAATTTGCAAAGCCTTGAGCGTGTTCAAGATGGACTTCCTGATAATATCTTAATTTTGAGGATAATGTATAATAAAATTTGGAAAGCCTTGACCGTGTTCAGGATGAGCTTCCAGATAATATATTAATCTTCAAGATAATGTATTATAAATCTTGGAAACCCTTGAACGTGTTCTGGATGGGCTTCATGATAATATATTAATCTTTAGAATAAGATTTAAGGTTTAAGGTTTAGATTTTAGGGTTTAAAGTTGATGTTGGGGTTTTAGGGTTTAGAGTTTAGTATACTAATCTTCAGGATAATGTATTATACAATTTGGAAAGCCATAAGGGTGTTCAGGATAGGCTTCCATATAATATATTAATCTTCAGAATGATGTAAACTATTCATTATTTTTATTTTCTGTTGAGTTTAACAAAGTTTCAACTTGATTTTTTGAGTTTTATTATTTTATTAAATTATAGTGAATCTCTTACGTGTTTCTCATTTATATTATATTTATGCTAGATGTTTTGTCCGTACGTGCGATCATAATAATATCATAATTATTTATTGTTTTATATTATAATTTGAAGATTACTATAATAAGTTTAAACCAGTATTTTGAACCGGTAAATCTAGTGACCCAAAATAAATCTGGAAAAGTTTTTGATTGTTTTGTTTATCATAAATCTGTCATAGTAAATGTTCTAGATTCTCATTAGACATTTAAATATTTATAAATTT